CACCCCCCCCCCCCCTTTAAGCAGAACGACTTGGTAATGACGGCTGCTTATGAGATGGGGTGTAAAGGTAGAAGAGCAGACGTTGTGAAAGCCGTGCGGGAGTTACGACCGAAACACAGTAACGAAGGCTTCATGCAAAGCATAAAAATACTTCAGATTTTTCAGAATCAGTTGGACCAGGTGACTAAAAATAAAAACCAGAAAACCCTGCAAATTTACGCTTCTTTTTTCTGGAAATATCACTCTTTCGAGTTTCCACTACAGGAAGGGGAGAAGTGAAAAATCGCGTTGGGTCATGACAGGGTTCCTTGCACTAGTGAACAAGTATGGACATCTCACAATGAGAGCAGGTCTTGTTGCTGGAGAGAATTTTTGCAAACGCCGCTCCCTCAAATTTTCTCCTTTGGTGTTGCTCTCCTCCTGCATCTTACCGCGAAAAGTCCACAACTGGAGGAAATTCCCTCGAGGCCAGGTACGACTCCCTTTCTTGCAGCACGACCCCCCCCCCCCAATGGGGCCCCCGACTTGATGGATAGCGCGCCAAGAAGAATCAGCCATTAAAAGAAATGTCTAAGCCCATATTTGCCCCTTCAGCGGCCAAACATGACCCTCGTTAAGGATCCCCAACGTGTGACATGCCCTGCTCAAGACACCTCTACCAGTGCGAGCGGCCATACAACATGTGGAAGCTCCCTTCGTCCGTCTCTCTTGTGGCTCTGACTTACTGTTAGGTTTTCCAAAGCCATCGCGACTGGGAAACTCACATTATCCTTTGCTTTCCATTGTGACTGGAACGAGTCACACACTTTTCACCACCGCTGAACTCCACTTCAGGTGGCGTCTCCTCATGGGTAAGACGAGCTGTTTCGACTCCATTGACATCATCCTGAAAAAAGTCTCAATCTGAATACTGCAAAAGACTAACCACAAGTAACGCACCAGTAACTTACTTTGGACGTTCTCCTGGTGTAGCTGAGGGTTACAGCCTCTTTTTCGCTCGTGCCAGTCTCGCTCTTGACTCTTGAAAACAGGATGCCCCTAAAAACTGAAAATCAATTTTTGGGCTCTAGAGACATTTCAACAGGAAGCGAAAAAATTGGAAATATAAGCACTTACAATCGACGCTAAGCATCTTGGAGAGAGATGGACTAAGGACTTTTTGAGGAAACCTGGGATTACGCCTCACGAAAAGGATCACGGCTCTCCAAGCTAGGATTCCTTTCCTCCGCCCCTATAGGCTTGACGAAATTCCTCATTTCCATTACGCTTCTTCCAGTTTTGCAAAAGGAGTCCCTTCAATGCCCCTTCAGAGTTGTTAGCGCCCAAAAGTTTAGCGTTTTGATCACATTTAGGGAAAAACCCTTCCTCAAAATGCCTGTACATTTCTCGGAACATTGAAACTCACCCTATAATTACAAAAACCAATCCTGCGTAGTTTAGGATGCTGCTGGCAGGTGGATGAGCTTTCATGCCGAAGAGGCCGAACCTGACAGTGTCAAGATAAATGAAGACGCAAGAAGTTAAGGCAAGCTTACCTTCCTCCAGCCCAACCAGTCAGACAATTCGTTGTGTTCCAAATTAGAATGCCGACGGTCATTCCAAGCCTAGAGATGATCGGTATTGCCTGTGGCGTTCCCTGGAATGAGACTGATAGGGGATTGTTCGCACCTAATGGTGGTTTTTGTCTTCGGCGAGCCAAAGGGCGTTAGGTTTTGTCAACAAGTGAGAGGTGTTCCACGGCACATCCTGCTGTTGGGGAAAATTTTGCCAAAATCTACCCCACGCAACTTTTTTCCTCTGCTACTATCCCACCTCCTCCTTTCCCAACCTTCCTACTATCTTCCTAAATTTTCCCAAAATCCTAAGACTTTTCAGCATTTTCCCAAGAGTCCCTCCATCCCTCTCCCCCCCCCCTCCGGAATGTTGCCGTCAACTAAGGGTTAGGGTCGAGGGAAGGGGGCAGGGGCTACATAGCGCATTCGAAACTAGAAAAACCGAGCACCAGCAAGCAAAGTATTGTCCTCAAAGACGATTACTAATCCCTCCACCCTCTCCTCCAGCAATCAAATAGGCCCCTCGCAGAAGGTTCCCAACGTAGACGCACCCTGGTTCCGACGCGTTCCATCAGAGACTCCTGGAAGAACCCACGAAAACCCTGGGATAAAGCACTGGGCACTGATGCCGTCTGGTCAATCCTGGAAGGACTTTTTGGGTTGACTGGTATCTCGTTACCCACAGCCCCCTCCATATATCGGTGCACATGGCATGTCGTTGTAGACACTGCACATGGGCCATATAGTGCGACCTGTGGGATGAAGCCGAATGAATGGTACGTGCCTTGACCAATTGGCCTCAGCAACAGTTCAAAATCTAACAGCGACTTTTTCGGAGCCTGAACTTTTTTCTGATATCGTTTAAAAAATTGTTCATTACCGATTGCCCAAAACGCTCCTCCCAACATTGCCAACGGGTAGAAGCCTGGAAATTCTTGAAGACAGAAGACGCCGAAGCCGACCATCAAGATTGCGGTTGAAATTACCCATTGGGTGAACATTCCTGAAAACAGTATGGTACTAAACTGCTCTGTTTCATCGGCTGTCTCCTCAAAGGAACATTCCACGTTGATAGTAGGGGCGGAGTCAGGTTGTGCCTTCCCACTCATGTACTCTTCCCTTTCACCGCCGTAGAAAGCAAGGTGCAACGCCTAGTCTGACTCCACCCATACAGTCAACAAGAACTGTGTTTTTAACGTCGTTAAGCTGAGAATCTGGAACGAAAGTGAGTAGTTAAAAAATACCATCTCCGGCATCGTACTTCCTGACCGGAACGAACATCGTACCGAAGAAGACGGACGATACGCCACAGGCCACTAGGCCGATGCCTATGCTCATCTGCAACGGAAATATTGGAATGGGGATCCTGTTGGTTGATTTTGTTGTAACTGCTTATTTTACAGGATACCTTGTGTGGTATCGGAAAAAAAACCATCGAAACAAAACAAAACAGTAACTCCAAACTAATGCCGTGTGGCAGAACAACAACGATAGAAATCTTGCATTAAAAGGAAAAGGAGATGTAGGATGCTTGTAAATGCAATATTACGTGAGATGTTCGATCAAAGTAGTCTTAGAGGGGCTAGTTTGCTGGTGGTCACCTCTACCAGCCTGTTAAACTTTAGAATGGTCCCGTTTGCAAAGAAGTGATGTCCGGCATTCACGCTCGCTTTACGAGCAATATTCTCGAATTACTTCTACATTCTACAGCAATGGGAGTATTGGGTTCAAGCGTAGTGTGAAAACGGACACTCTTGCAAAACCAGATGATGTCGAATTTTGGTTTGGCGACGGGCGGCAGGTGGGGGGACGGTGGAGGGAGGAAGCTAGGGGGAGACATCTTGCATTCACGCTGCTTCACTGCTTGCGGTTTTCAAGTATCACTCTTGTGAACCTGGGGCAAGCTCGTCGAGCCACCATGGTAAAACCTCTCAATTCTTGTAGGTTCACTAGATAACTTTCTAGGTGGCTCGACACGTCGAAGTAGCAGAAGTGGCAGAAGTGCAAGATGCCCCCCTCATCGCCGAACTGCCCCCGAATTTTCTTCTCCTAATGGCTAGGGTCTCAATACTGAGGGTCAGGTTTCGCAACACGGTTCCGAAAAAATTTCATATAGCAATGTTATCGCTGAGCCTATAAAACTGCAAAAAGAGGACATTAACTGGCTGACGAGAATTGAAACATGACCCCTTTCGGAATGAATTGTAAACTGTCAACAGAATCGATCAAACAGCATATTAACTTCTATCATATACGGCTTTCGAAAACACAGCGATGAAGAATTTGCCATTCTGGAGATTCTTAGGGCACATTTCGCAATATGTAACGGAGTGAGGGCCATCCGGTTCAAATATGAAAGCTGTGAAGTAGTCCTCCGCGACGAAAAATTGAGAAATGCAAAATAGAACC